ATGTCTCTTCTCAAAAATACTCACCCCATAGTTTCAGTAGTTACAATCTGACAACGTTCTATTTAATGGCAGATTTAAGATCAGGTATAACCTTTGCAAAGTATGAAATATTGAAAATATAGTACTATGACAATAACGATTATGAAATATATTTCATGAAATATGTTTCATAATAGTTATTATATTCACAATAGTTTAGTTTCGCTTCACGAGTTTAGTACTCTTGAAACAAGTAGGAAACATGGATGTTTTCCACAACGCTTCATCAGCAGCAGTACTTGTCGTAGTATCGACAAGCGCAGCTCATCGAGCTATGTTTACACCGGCTGTGAGTTGAAAACTAATTAAACTTTATCTAGTCGAGTGCAGACATCTATACAATTCCAATAAAACGATGTTTACGTCAATTATTACTACAATAGGTACTATATCCTAAGCACTATCTTTTTTCTGCCTGGCGAGTGATTGGATTAATGTTTGCAAATGAAATACTCTACGTTCAAAGGGTACGTTCCTATTGATTTTATTCGTACGTCCATCACATTCGTGTAAAAAAACACTGACCCATTTCAATCAGTGAAGCTTACCTTATATTGTTTACTATATTCGATAAAAAATATCGTAGAATAATGACTAAGGCTTAAGTAGAAATAATATATTTATAAATAAAACGTGTTTTTAGTTATAACGATTTGATATACCCCACAAGCGCTATAGAGTCATAGCTTGTTAGCGCAAGAAACTTAACGTATAACTTGCGGTCAACAGCATTTAGCGTACTCCTTAACTACACTTCGCCAATTAATAGTTACCGATTGCAGTTATTGAAATACTTTCAGTGTAGTTAAATTATAATTATTTATTAAACTATAATTAATAAAAACTTTTTTATGTTATAACATAGATTATAACAAACGAAGGGTTTATTTTAATGTAAAAAATATTCAATTCTTAGTTTTTATAGAGTAATGCCGTAAAAGATATACCAAATAACTAATAATTTGAAGATTAATACGATATAACTTAGATTATAGTATAGAAATACTTTGAATGAAAGTAAAATATAATTATTTTTTATATTATAATAAATAAAAACCTTCGTTTGTTATATATGTTATAATAAGATAAACGAGATTATTACCATTTATTTTAGATACTTGTCAATTACTTACCTTTGTGGTTTGTACTTAATATTAACTTCGTAATATTTTAACTTTACTTAAATCAATCCATCAAACCAATTCGAAGCTTTCAACTTTTCGATCGAATCAATCATTTATTCTGTTTGTTATCCATGTTTGTATTCCATATTTCTGAATATTGGCATTCCAATTTTTTGTCAAACAAATTTGAAAAAAAACTTCATTTTTTTTGTAAAAATGCTCCAACTAAATATCAAAAGAATGAAATGGATTAGATAATTGATTGATTCACATCTGTAATTTTTGACAATCTGCCGGCTTCGATGTTTTCATATTAATCTATATATATAAAAGAAAGTGTTAGTTACACTATTTATAACTCAAGAGCGGCTTTACCGATATGGCTGAAAATTGGTGAGGTAGCTTAGAGCCAGGAGACGGACATAGGATTCTATTTATTCTTTTTTTTTTTAATTTATGCCTTGATGAGCTGCTTTTTATTTAACTTATCTATATATTAAGTTTTTTATATATCCACACGGACGGAGTCGCGGGCGACAGCTAGTTAAATATAAATTTATTGCTGCTTATGTAAGAATGTTATATTAAATATGATGTTTTTTTATACGTGTTAATAATAAATTCATTAATGATAGTTTTAATAAGTATACGTAATACGTTTTATATAAAAAAAACTATGCATAATATAACATTGATATAGTTGTCAACAGATGAAATGTTATTTGGATTGTAACATATTGTCATCCCTTTCATTCTCTTTGATAAAAACAAAGACATATGATGATTAATATAAGTGCAGTATAACACGGTAAAGATGTTAAAAAAGAAATATAATAAATGCCGTAGTTAACGTAGGTTATTAAGGAACAGCATAAGAAAATAGAATCTATTTTAATAGAGAAAAATTGCAACTATAAGAGAATTCCGACTAAATCAACTTTTTAAATCGCTGCAGGCTTAGAGCAATGTAATACTCACAGGGGGACCAATGCAACAGCAATAAGCGTGGAATTAGGTTTGCTCACCGCTTCAGTACCTACTATGGATTATAGTACAAATAAAACCTGGCAGTTACGCGGAAAAACCGTATTCCTTTTCGCGCTTTGAAAATCGAACACGTTATTTAATTTGACATTAAGTCAATAAAGTTAATGGAATGTTTTCGAATTTATTTTCTTCACTTCAACAGCCATGGTCAAATAAAAAAGGAAAGTAAAATCGCTAAGGAAAGATACTTTTGTCGCGCATGTGTTACAGAAAATACGCTAATAATCAACAGTCACAAAGCTTATTGAATTAGCTTCTCTCGGCCAGGGTAAACTATTTTACGAAATCAAAAATATTGTTGTATACGATTTTCCTACTCAATTATCGAAGAGCGACAGTCATGTTAACACATTAATTTATTATCCGGCTTTTACAAGGGCTCTTTCAGTGCAATACCCAATGACAAGCTTAATGCATTCGCATTTCGAGTATATGTAATGTCATATTCAGGACATACAAATTAAATAAAGAGCCTTTAAAATTTTGTAATAAAAATGATATCAATCGTATTTCTAAAAGATGCATAAGTTGATGCAATAAAATAAATCCGATTCTTCTCCTTTTCGCAGAAAAGTAAATCTCGTTGTGCAGACTACCGATTCGTATATGATTTAGTTGAAAAGTATATTTGAAGTAGAAATCTTATCGTAAGGAGTTTACCTGGTATATGCGGATTCTGACGTTTTATTCAGAGACGAAGTTCAGATTTGCTTTTCGAGTACATCTTGTGTCTCCGCAGTACTGCAGTACAAGATTTCGAAAAAAGAAATCGTACCGGGGTTTTAAATGTGAATCTAAATTGATTCACGATTCAGTCCATTGTGTGTCGATTGATTAATATTTTTATTCAATGTCAACTATTTTATTTGATAACTACAATTTATTAAAATTCAAACGACATTTTAACCAGTGAAAGTGGAACTGCTATCGCGGTTGGTCCTGCTAGAATATATAAAACCTATCGACATAGAAAATGACATAAAAGAAAACATGACAGCTACAGGAGGATCTTATGATTTTTTACATTGAGAGGGGAGTACTAGTGAGCTGTTGAAATTTAGTTTGACTTATTCCCACCGGTCCAGATAGCCTTTTTGGTCTATACATCAAAAAGCGTTGTCAAAGGGTAAATGAACGGGGAAGTTCAAACCGATTTTGTCTGTATGATACCGGCAAGTACTAAAGACACAAACAAACAATTAAAAATGATCATTCATTCAATACTTTATGAAGATTATATTTTATTGACTGTAACTTTCTTTACACCAAATAAAGATACGCGGATTGGCGGGCGCTGATGACTGCTTAAGTTACATCGTCACAGAACTCAAGTGAAATGTCACCTTTTCAAATTGCAGAAATATTATACCTTATTTTATAAATGAATATGTTCGATATACAATTTTTCCGAATCCTTAGGATTTGCCAGGGGCAAACTATCAACGGACGGCGCCCACAATTTGCTGGTTACACGTTGTACAAGTGCAATTACGAAAATGATGTATACAGCTAAAGCCAGACGGGTCATGTTTGATACCACAGTATACAGGCAATAACGTACAAAATCGATCTCATATTTTTAATCTGCGCTTGGTTTTACGATGGATATAAATCAATAAACGATTGAAATCACAGCTGTATGGATCTTGTTTTGACATAAATGTAGAACATAGCCTGGAAAGACACATAGGCTACTAATGACATTTTTTAAGTCCTCGCGAACGGAGTTGTGGGCGACGACTAGTATACTTAGATGGTTTCTTATAATGAGCCAAAAATATACCCATAATATAACCTGCTTAGAACTCGTTTACAATGTTATCATACGATTAGTGATGTCGCTTGTAGAATCGACAAAATTTTGACACATTGGGAGCACGTGTGTGGTGTGTGGATGAATAAGTACGTGCTATATCGAAAATTAGTTTTGATCATGGATATCGCTGAATTAACTAACTATCGATACGTCACGTATTTATTCCATTTTAACAAACGTCGATTGTACTGTACTAGCTTTATATTGTATGATATTCTGAGTCTAAAAATCCTTTGTATTGGATATCAAAATGTTACATTTTAAAACCGGTTTGTTCCATGCTTGTGTACTACTAAAATAAAGCAAATGTGAAATTATAAGTATATTTTTCAAGCGTATTCAAATCGAACTTTCAAGTAAAAGTGGTCAACAAAACTACTTACGGTCCGTGGTGCCTCCTCAGACATATTTTGACTTTTCGTTACTGTGCCCATTTTTTTAGGATTTTTACCAAATACCCTATCCATGAATCACAAGAATATTAATAACTATAATATAGTTTCGTTAACAATAATTGTTAAAGTCTTAACTAATGTCATAAATTAAGACAATTTGAAGGAAATGTTAATACTTGTTAGAGTGTACAAAGTGCAGCATGATTGAAGGTATGGCGAAATGTCAACAATACGGAATCAAGTATAATTTGATTACAAACATGCATGTCGAGTGCGAGTGCGCTGCCTCGGCATTTCATTAGTTAAATTCATAGCGTCTGTGTTTGTCAATACAATTTGTGCTTATTCAAGAACTGTATGAGTGAGATTTTAATAACAAACATTACAACTCATGTTATTGAAGTGAAATTAAGTACGGTTTAAATTCTCGGCATTTGCAGTTTCAAATAAAATCTTAATGATGATATTACGATAAAACATGCAATTATTAAGCAATTCTGTTTCTAAGAACGTTTAATAGATTAGCTTCAATCCTGTTGTAGATATAATTATTAATAATATATATTTTGCTTTGTACAGTCTCCATTCCAAGAGAGGACAAAATGGAGCAAAGCGTAGCGGAGATGCAAACCCACCTGCAATTCCTCGATTCGCTTTACCGAGCCCGTCTAGAGGACCTCCTTACCTTGCAGGTAATTTATTTAAAATTTATATCTATTTTTACATTTGCCTTATTGCCGAACAACAATGAAAATATGTCGTTTTACAAAAAAAGAAAGAAAATTATAAACAATAATAACCCTTTCTTCAAAAAAAATATTTGGCTATTAGAAATTCAAATGAAAGTTGCATGTTGTATGTCATGTTTGTTTGTTCAACAGAATAAGGTCCTTTCAAGCCGGTGTTTCAATGAAAGCCACCATCATCAGCCGACATCGTACAGCGATACAGTTACGGTCACCCTAACTCCGGAACTTATGACATCATTGAAAAATCTTAGCGGTATGACTTTTATTGAAAAACCTTTAATTTTTTTCATGACCCAATCTTACTTTGCGAGTTAATTTTTAGACATGAAAATCGTAGTAATACTGTTATGCATAAATAAAAATAATATTTTATCATTATATATATAATATAATCTTTGCGAATATTGTATTTTTTGTTGTTTTATGTATGTATAGTGAAGAAGTATAAAAAAAGAATAATGTTGACACCTTATCGTTTATGTTAACTTACGAACTAAATTAACTCGATTTCGCAATACGTTTATTAGCATACCTTTAAGCCTGTGTTGTTATAAATATTAACTTGAACAGTCCACTCTCGAATCACTCACGAATTTTATTACCAGTCTCTTACATGTTATTTATTTTACACAAACGGTATACAAGTCCAGTTTTATGAATGCAAATAGCATTGTTCAATAGCATACATTCTTTTAAAAATATCTTACATTTTATCCACTGTTGAAAAACATTACTCGCAATTAAAATGTCCAATATATATCAAATATATTACAGACATCTTTGGCACACTACATGTAACATTTTCCTTACATACTTGACATCATTGCAGCTATAACGTCAAAGGAATATTACGTGAATACAACATTTTGCACTCCGTGTGGAGTAATACATGCTATGAGCTTCATGGCGCCCTTGTTGCAACGTACTTCAAAATAACAGATTAGCATGTTCAGTGGCTGTTAATTAAATAAATTGAACACGCCGTGATATAACCATATCTAACTGTAAATTTCAATTGACACTTGTATACGAATAATATTGCTATCTCGGTTTGATACATAAAGAATGAAAGGGATGGCTATATTTGTATTTATTTTTAACAACAGCGGGGATACACGTGGTCTTCGTGTATACTCGTCAATTGTGTTAACACGCTCTCGATGTTTTTCGTTTATTTGTCTGTATTTTCCGCTGTGCGAGCGCTGCTCTGTTTTTAATTTGCTTTAGCTTTTCCGATCTTTCCATTAGTTAAGTGTGTACCAGGTTGATTTTCAATGGCAATTACTTAAAATATATTGCACTGCAAATGAAAATATAAGACTTTTAATTAATATGTATGTGTATGATTTTGTCGCGTTGTTATGTTTCAATTGTTAGAATTGCCATAAATATAAATATTTTGTTCATAGGAACGAAGACAGCGCAAGGAGTTCAGCCCAAAAATCTCCAGCTTTTTCGCACTCCTTTTGTTTTTCAACTGCTTCCCCATCTGATGAATGACCCAAACAGCCTCCGCCCCTCTTATCACATGAAGTCCGGCCGAGTGTTTGTCGACGTTGTTATCGGTGTACCAACAGTTAAAAGAGATAAGGAGAGCTATCTCTTGATTACGCTTACGGTACGTTCTCACATATTTTTATTTATTAAACAATATTGTAGTCTAGAACCCTTTAAAATGGAATGCGACACATTTGTCCTTTATATGCATTCATAACTTATAATATATAGGTGTTCTTATTTGCGAAAGCTGAAAGTGTAGAAGGCTTAATATGCTGTTTGTTAATAGTATTCGACCTACTGCAAAAATCAAATGCTATAATTTATTTTAAACAGTTAATGAGACCGCACTATTAATGAAAAAAAAATTCGAGTTGAAATAAAACAACATATAGAATCAAAATGGTATCATATACGTATGTACGATACCAAAAGTTCAATCTAACGTCTATCGCGACTCATAAACGTTTAATTTATATAACAATGCAGCACCTGGTGAACGGGTTGACTGAGGACGACGTTAATTCGACTCTCATCGTCGTGTTTGTCGGCGAAACTGATTTGGAGTACGTCGTGAACACCGCTCGCCAGATTGAAATTACGTGAGTCTATTAACTTACTTTTGATTAAATATCATATTTGGGCATAGTTAATCCAAAAGTTAACTACGTTAAAATTGTGTTTGAGCCGGGGCGGGTCGTTAGTGTTGTTATTTTTTATTCGTGTATTTTGATTTCGTAAACAATCGGTTGTAAAAAATCTATAAACTATTGTATTTTGTACATAAAATATTTTCCATTAGGAATTTCCCGGTAAAACTACAAAAGCTCGGAGATGCGGCGTTTCCATTTGTTTACCGCTCCGTAATCCGCATTAGCAAAACCACTAGAGATTAGCTCGTTGTTTTTTTTTTATTTCAAATACAAAGTGCTTCCGCGCAATTTTAAGCGCCTTACGTATTTTTTTCAAACAGGCGGACAAAATAATTGCCATTTAATAACACCAAAACTTTATTTTCAATTTATTATTTGCGAGCTAATGTTATTTCTACGTACATTTCGGGAATGAATTTAGCTTTGATTTTCCTAAGTTACATTTAAAATTCGGAAACATTTTCTATTATTCAACAATCAACGATCGGTCACTCGATTGTAAATGCGTATAGCACTGAGTTTATCAGACGCAACAACATTGGTAGTGCTGATGCATTCAGGCCCGAAATTGGCGTGATTATCTGGGAGCCAATTGAATCAATACCCTCCTAGCTTCCGCTTTGTTTCCACCTGACAGGCGACAGATTGCATTAAGCTAATGGACAGAAATCAAAATCAAATATGCTACGACAACCTTTTGTACTTTGGGAACTTTTATCGTTAATTATGGCTTTGACAAAGTGAAGGCTGAAATTTCAGGTTTCCGAAGCAAGTGGAAAACGGTCTGATCGAAGTTTTGTCACCATCGACATCTTATTATCCCGACTTCGATACTTTAGAAAAAACACTTGGCGATTCGATGAAGCGCGTTAAATGGCGAACTAAGCAGAACCTGGATGCCATCTATCTGATGTCCTACGCTCAAACCAAAGGCACCTTCTACTTGATGCTGGAAGACGACGTAATTGCCAAGAAGTTCTACATGCAGGTAAAAAATTAATACCGAAAGATATATTGTATACATGATAAAAAATTGACTACTTTTTCTTGGTATAAAAAGGTAGTGTAATGAAACGCGCTTATCTCTTTCATAATAATTACGTTATTAAAGAAACGCATTTGCGAAAGATTTTTCCGATTTTGAGTATTTGTATTATCCGCTCAGCGCGAATTTCAATTCGAAACAAAATGTTGCACTACTGGTTTTTATGTGCTTTGCGTTCATTTTTACATTTTATTTCAATAAGTTATAATGATACTGAAGATAAAATCTTCTGAAGATAAAATCGTAGTGCGCTTCACTATTCATATGAAAATTATATTTTTACATTTATGTATTCGTACTAATATATTAATATTATCTATTCTTATTTATGAACTTTTTTTCCAGTTGGGTTAAATGTTGTAGTAACTAATAATAAAATTGTGGATTTAATTTTAATTATATACCTATAATTATTTTAATATTGTGATTTCGATGTAATTAAAACTATTAAATCGAACCAATATTGCAATAGTTATTACTGCTAGCGCTGCACTTTATATTATTTTAAGAACATAATCGATGAAATTGATAAGTGGAATGAATTTCTCATTCTCATTTTTAGGGTTCCGTACCTCATAGCAAAAAAACGAAACCTTTATAGGATCACTTTGTTGTCCGTCCGTCCGTCTGTCAAGAACCTTTTTTTTAACATATCAAAGTTTTTTTTTGTAACATATCCGTGAACTCCAACGCCATATTCCATAGCTTTTTACTATATAAGAAGCAGAAATATTTGAATAGGTAATTCAAAGCTAAGGAAAACAATAATTATTTAACGAGGTGACGTTAAGAGGGCTGTAAAAGCGAATTAAATCTCTGTTCATTCTAAAGGAATACATTACATTGGATATCGGATGCGCTACGAGAAATTTAATTAGGATTCAATTTTAAATTGAAGTCGTCGATGGCAACGAATCGAATTATTCGCGACGCTGCTTGCCGTATCAAATTCTATTAGCGAGAAATACTCTTGAAGTTTTATTTGAACCGTAATTACAATATCAATGGTTTTCAATTGCTGGAAAAAATTAATTTAAATTTATAGCTTCATAAAGTTCTCTTCGTATCTGCGCTAAGATGCTTTTTAATTTATATACTTTCTTTCGTTTTTAACGATGCATCCTGAGAAATTTCTTTACTATTCAAAGACTCTTCGAAACTTTTTCGATTTATTGAAATATCCTATTCATGTCGATGATTAATTTTTTGTTAAATCGTTTGATACTGGCTGTCTTTATGCCTAACATAATTGTTTATGATAACGAAAAATCTTACAAACATAAAAATTATGTGTCACGATGTATGTTCGCGATAAACTCCGAAATTAATTAATCAATTCTTATCACATTTGTGAGCATTTGAATTTTGTTCCAACTTAGAAGATGTATAGTTCTTTTGTCAATTATTAATCTTTTTTTTTAAATATCGCGCGGACTGAGTCGCGGGCGACAGCTAGTCAACTAATGTTTATTACAATGAAATATTTGATTATCTATTTCAGGAGATCAAGCAGTTTACAGCATCGACAACTGTCTCTACACCGAATTGGTTCTTCATCGAGTATTGTCAAGTGGGCGGCATCGGCAAACTGTTTCGATCATCCGACCTCATCCACTTCGTTACATACGTACAGCTGTTTTACAATAATATGCCTATCGACTGGCTGTTGGAAAGTTACCTCGCTGATCGAGTCTGTTCCATCGATAAGACTGCGGTATGTCGATGTATTTATCTCTATCTATCCCTACTTTATAACTAAGTTGTACACTTTTAAAATAAGTAACAAGGTTAGAGTAATGAAATAGAAAAGTTCTTGCTAAGTATATTACTTTAGTAGACATTAGAAAATGTACTTAGTTTTGAGGAGAAATATTATTTATTGTTGATTATTCCAAAAATATAAGATATTTTACTAAATAATAGTAGATTAGTCAGGACATTTAAACATAGGATTATCAAGTTGTATTAGATCTAGAAGTGTCACGCATAAGAATATAATAACAATTTCACCTAGAATTATTACAAGAAGCGAAGATTATGTATATTAATATTAATGTTTTTTTTTCAAAAAATATTATTTTTTTCATGTAAATAGCAAAGTATTCGAAGTGGTAAACTTATTTTTTATTCTTATATTATAGAAAGCCTGTTCTAAGAGCAAGAGCACAATTCGACCAAAGTATAAAACATCGTTGTTCCAACATATCGGTCTCTACTCTTCGTTAAAAGGAAAAATACAGAAAGTCAAGGTAATTAACATTCTCAGCAGTAATTATTAAAATAATAATATTATATGATTTTTTTATATGATAAATAAAAATCATATAAAACGACAATTACAGGATGCTCATTTCGGCTCGGTACCTACTTACTATCCGCACACCAACCCTCCTCTGGAATCCATGAAGACTGATATCGTAGAGCAAGGCGATCACACACTCAAGAGGGCGTATGAAGGTCAAACTTATTTCTGGGGTATCAAACCAAAGAAAGGCGATATGATTGAATTTTGGTTTGAAAAACCAACGGCTATTAAGAGGTAACTTTTATGTCTTATTATGTATATTTATTTCATTATTTCGTTGAACATTTTAATACCTTTCCATAAATGACTTAAGTGATAACAGTTCTCATCAGAAGGTCTTAATTAAAATTATTCTTTTTAAAAATTAAGCTTATTTTATATAAAACAAGTAGTAGAAATTTTAGATAGTTCATAGTAATGGCGGTGTGGTTATACTACCAAATTTAAAAGGTGTACTAGCCACTGTCCGATATCAGTCATTTTCCTTAAAAACAATATGTAAAATGGAATGGTCTGTCCTCGGCGGTATTTCCAAACCACTACAATTTAGCGTCCTTCAAGTAGCGAGCTTTTCACCATTTCAAAAGCCGGCAACGCATCTGCGATTCCTCTGGTGTTGCACATGTCTATGAGCGTCGATGAACATGTCATTGTTCCTACTGCTCATTTGAACAGACTGTTATAAAAAAAAAACTTAAAAAGATGTGACACGAACTTTTTAAACTTCTTGTAGACAAATAACAATTTGCTTTGATTTCCAGCTTCACATTCCGTAGCAGCAACGTCGACCACGCGACTGACAAGTTCTATGATACCGTTGTGGAAGTGCTGCCAGCTGGCACCAACAACTTCACCATTGTTGGATCATTCGATGAATTCGGTCTCGCTGATGGAGAGCTCAAAAAGGACGCCGGACCCTTCTCTGCCATCCGTCTTCGTGTACAAAGCGATAGCTTCTACTGGGTCATCCTCAGCGAAGTAAGTTTTAAGTTTATAGCTAATTAAATCGAGGCAAAGCGGTCCCGGGTGGGTGCGTAGTCAATGTGGTACACTATAGCTTTTTTCCTTATTTCCTCTAGCCCTGGGAGACTTAAAGGAAACATACAAGCCCAATGACACGTCACTTAATCATTTGGAAATAATATTCAAGTTCAAATATTAGTCAAGTTTGAGAAACACTAAATATTTATGAGAACGATAAGAAGTAAAGTCAAGAATTGTCTAATTTATAGAAAACTGAATGTTAATAAGCCGCTATTTAATTTATTAGTTACTAGCGGTCGCCCTCGACTCCGTCCGCGCGTAATTTAAAAAGATATTAGTAGTTCTTTTAAACTATGTTTTATGCCACATTTCATCTAGATCTGTTCAGCCGTTCTGGAGATACCTTCAAACAAACATCAATACATCTAAACATTCGCATTTATAATATTAGTAAGATTAAATATTAATTTGCGTTTTCAGATTGAAATAATGACCCACGATGGCACCAAAGAAACAAGGTGACATGATACACGAACACCCTGGGAGAGATTCGACAAACAGATGAAACCACCGCATATGAAGCGACACCACACGAGGCCCAAGACTTCTGGACATCTTCACTAAGGATTACAACTTTCTATTTCGGACTTTTCACGACGACTTTTGGCTTACTATTGGACAAAGAACTTTGACTTTTGAAAATTTTCCCATATTTTCAAAATATCTTTAAGCATATAAATGCACGTACAGAAGTTTTAAATTTTTATATTTTTGGTATGTATTTTTTACGTCATCTAGTCATTTTTTAATTTTTAATATTTTACATCAAATATGTACATTGAAGCTGTTGTTAGGGAATGAAAAATATTTAATTGAGTTATTTTATAAAAACATATTTATTTTTCTATATTTTAATACTTTTTATTTAAATATTTTATATTATTATTTATACTTTTTTTGTATATATATGTAATGTCTATTTATAAAAGCATTTTACGCATTATAGTAAATGCACAATTGAATCAGCTTTTGATGTTAGTAGTTTTATTAAAAAAACATAAAAAACAAAAAAAATTAGATTAGAAATGCATGTTAAAATATATTCAATAAATGTTAGAAAAATGTTTTATGGTAAAGCCATCACTTTAACCAAAAACTCGTGTATTACAAGAACTTTTCAAGTACCAAAGGCATTTATTTAGTTTTGAAGATCGAGTATCGAAATTCATAGAATAGGTCGAATATAATAAAAATAGATAAATAGAAATGAGTATTGTGTAATAAAAAAATAGTTTTAAATAATTAATTTTTGAAAAAACTATCACTAAAAGGGGCAATCAGTTGTAGACACCTAATTGCTGAATTGCTCAGTTTAACTGACAGTTAAAATTTACGTGTGTAGGCAAAATTTTAACTAAAGGTGCATTCGGATAGGTCGAACAATAAAAACAATAACAAAGTCCTGCATAAAATGTACAATATCGTCAGTTACTACGTACCATATTTGGAAAGCGGACAAACAATGCGATGCGGTAGCGCACGCGCATCTCTCTGATTAAATTGGTCATATTTGTCCTACCCATTACTTGTCTGTAAATTAAATATAGCTCAAACTATAAGATTGCCAAAGTAAATAGATTTATTCACTATTTTATTGTTAGATCAAATTTTTATAGAGCAAAATTGTCGTAGCTTGTGAACCGTATACCTCTACTGATACAATCCTAATAATATGCTATACATGTTTATTAGATTTAAATATTGTAAAATAAAGTAATATTTGTGTGTATCGTGTTACATTTTAGTAGTAGTCTTGGGAATTTCCTGCTTGTTTTCTTCTAAACTCTATCGTAATTAGCTATTGTTTTCAAATATGTATTATTATTATATTTACAGTAACTATGGTCAACTAAATTTAATTTTTATGAATCTTTTACTTATACCTTTCTTTAAAAACAATGTGGTATGAAATCTTTATAGTAAATTTTTAAATATTTTTGTTACATTCACTTTAAAAAGATCTTAGTTTTATTTATATGAGTTATAATCTAGATTTTTATAGAAGCTTTGAACAATGTTGATGTTATTTATTAAGCCCTTAGTTCCTAATATGTTCCTTTAAAGTTAATTTCGATGCATAATATTAAACATTTGCTTCACAATAGTACAAGTTTCGTAAGTTTATAAATTTAATTGAATACAAAACGGCTTTACTATACTTTAGCTTTAATAAACCTTGCATATTTATTTGGAAATCCATCTATTTTTGATAAAAAGTTAAATTTTTCACAGTTTCACATTTTAGATATTTTTTGGGTTCATAATATTTTTATATTTCTTTTATCTTATAATCTACAGCTTCCTATATCTTATATATGTCACTTACGCTGTGTCTGACTTACGAAGTCTTTTAAAATATAATAATTTTTTTTAAATTGTAAGTAGTCGTAATCGATGTATTAACGTCTTTTAGAAGTAAGCATTTTTCTTAGTTTTTCGTGTTTAATTTATATGAAAAATTATGTCAGGGTACACACATGGTTTATGCCCTAAGTTTGTTTAAAATTGTATTTAATTTGGGATTGTGCAAGTTTGAGTGGAGGTCGAAGGAAGAAGTCTACAGGGATAGTGAGAAAGTGATTGCTTTTATACACGGTTATTTTTTAATCACTAGAACAAACAGATAATATAACATACAAGAATTTAAGTATGTATTTAGTATAATTTTTTTTAACTCAACGTAAAATAAAGTTAATAAGAAATTGATTGAAAAAGCCTGTTAAAACATAGACACAATACTTTTTACAAACTAAATATAACGACTCATTGTATTCATGAAAATCGCTTGACCAGTGCGGGCTGAAGTGAGGGGGAGGGGGAGAAGGTAAATGTCATTGTGGCTGTTTGTGAACAGAACGTGCGGCAACTAATATTACAAGCGTGGTATTTAAGTGTGCGCGCACGCATACAAGTATAATGCCAAACAACCGTGTATAAAGGATCGGTAGAAAAAAGATAAATGGGTGTAGAATTTCAAATCGTTACATTTATGCCAAATTCAGTAGTTAGTAAATAATAACAAAATTGATAACGTTAATTTATTTACTGTTGGAGTTAATAAAATATCATCAAATAACAACTTTATTGCATAGATCTCTGACTATATTAATGAAAATTAATAAATATTTGTAAATAAAATGTTTAAGATAAAAGTAAAAGTTATAACCAAGGACAAAACCAAATAATACTAGAAATTAATAAATTTTTGACATCGTAATTTCTATGTTTGTTATATGACTGTAAAGTGAAAGTAGCCCAGTTATACAAACACGCGTGAATGGATAAATGGATCCAAACGAAAATATTATTGTATTATTCATGTATCCTACTTTAAATGTATCGTAAGCGAAGAGAACTGTGAGTTTCGACAGTGACACATGACAAACCATCACAAATACTCTTATAAAACATAGACAATGTGTCAATATAACCGTGGGATTCTGAAGTTAAAATCTCAATTTACAACATATTGTTAGGAAACGTACCCATACTATGTGACTAGTTTAGGGGGGGGGGGAGCCGAGACTTTAAAATACTACGGTCAGTCACAGGGGTGAGGGGGGGAGTGACTCAGGTTTTCGTCCCGTAGTCGTTAGTTGTTCTTTTTCATATTTCATAATTCACTAGTAATTTAAGTACGCATCCAGTCTTGAAAAAACTTGGAGAACAAAAAAAAATAGGTCACGTAGTATGGGTATGTTCCCTTAGATCTGTTTTGTCAAAGATGACACGGCTGACGATATGTTTTATACAGAGATTTTGGTCTCAAAAACCAACCGTAAATGTGCCTGCAGTCGGCACGCACACAACTAAAACATTCACGCAACTTTACTTACATTTACATATGAAATTAAGTCTTTGACTGTAAATTAATTGTTTGAATCTTCATTATGTAATGAAATTAGTATTGAATATTTATCATCTAACTTATTTATATGGTTTTTTGTAAATATGTTTTCGTTAGGCATGTTTAAAGCGATTTAATCTTTTATAATTAATTTTACCGTTTTTTTAAATAAAAATCGGTTGAGTATTTTTTTCTAAGTAAAATCGAATAAGAACAAATTACGATTTTGTCTTATAAGTGTTGTGTTTGTTAAAAAATATTTGAATTTGAGTATTCAGTTTCATGACTATTCACTGCCAGAATGTTTGTAATATAACGTATTGTTTTCTCTTTTTTTTCTCTTGGCAACAAAAGAGAAAGCGCTATGTTTTTATACATGTTTTTAGGCATTCTAAACTGTTTTGATTTATAGAAACAGTTGTGATCAGTTTATTATTAAAAGATTGTAGAGTTAATTTGTGATTATTTTGAATTTGTTTTTTTTCTAAATTTTGTTTGTTGTTTTATATTAAAATAATTACTGAGTTAGTCCGCTCAGTTTAATATTGACATTTTCAAGTAATTTTGTTTCGTATAAATGTTTTTTTTTTTAAATATAACATATTTGCAATGTTGAAGACACAGGGTCGCAACAAATAAGAGTTTGTATTCCTATTTATGAAAAGAAAAATAATAGGCTATTTGTAATAATGAATTTTCACTGTAGAAACAGTTGTACGAAAAACAATATTGTTATTTCATTTTTTCAAGGAATATGAGAAGGATAGCGATATGTTTTGAACGAGAGTTAGGGCAGTGTAAACTCATGATAAAGTTAATTTTATTACATCAATTGTATTAAAATTGATTGATGTAATAAATCCTTGTTTGAAAACTAAATACACCTAAAGAATTTAAAAAGTAAAGTAGACTAAGGAAGAGATTCGAACGATGTAACAGACGGAATTTTATTAATTTAAGTTAATCAAATAAAAAATTGTAATATCGGAATTGTATGTTTTAAAATTATTAATTTCCTTTTAAATTTGTTAATTTAAAAGATTATTGTCAATGCACATTTTATAAAATATGTAGTCATTCATGTATTTATAATCAATTTGGTGTCATAAATGTATTTGTCGTTATTGTAGAGTTAAGAAGAATCGACAAAGACTTATGTTTTTACACAGATCAACATAAAGACTAGACACGACAACACGAATAACATTATTCAAATATTTCTTCATAATGATTTATCGATCAGATAAGTACTATCTTTTCAATGTGCATGAAATCGAACGTTTGAAACCTTTCTATATTTATTTATCTATTATTTCTTAACACAATACATAAATATAGCATGATGTGGAATTCCTCTTTGCATAACCATATTGCTATCTCTGTTTTTTCAAGTATTGTGAAAGGGAGGAGAATATATTTTGGCAGTGAAGCTGAAAAAGTTTTTACTTCACAGGGGGCTCAACTTTTTTATCTACAATTTATTTTCCGTTTAAGTATCCGTAATGCGAACGTGTACATGACTTTAGAAAATAAAAAAGATAGCTAATATCTGGTTAAGAGTACCCATTTTCCTTACGAGGGAGTGGAAAGATTGAGCCATTAATTTTACCCTGGCTACCAGATATGATTTATTTATAAATATTACTTGTGTTCGGTTTCTGCATTGCGTTATTTACCAATGTTCGAATGAAGTCTAGTCTCTTTGTTAATCGACTCTGAATCATCCTATCTTATCATTCCAGGACAATTTTGATGTTTTAAATGTTTTCCTGTATTTTTACGTTTGTGTTTTGGATAAGAGGCTTGCGCAAGACCCCGTTGGACTACAACAGGAGTGTCTCCTTGCCCGATCCATAAATATTATAAGTAATTAAAAATTTTATATATTTTATTTATTATTTCTTTTTATATTCTGAAATGTATTACACAAGCTTTATTAAATGTTCACTTTTACATTATATAAT